GCGGCGGCGGCAGCAGCTGCTGCTGCTGCAGCCGCTGCTGCTGCTGCTGCTGCTGCAGAAGGGGCGTACCACCACGTTGATGAGCTTGCGCAGCTGGTGGTACATCTGGGACTCGAGTTTGCTGCCGTCGCCGCTGGCAGTGCTGGCAGTCTCGGAGGCCATTTGGGGGCCGCTGAGGTGTTCCATTGTGGTGCAGGAGCAGCAGAAGTCAAGGGCAAGAGGCAGCGGCGCTGCAGCAGCAGCAGCAGCGCAGCAGCAGCAGCAGCGGCAGCGGCAGCAGCAGGCGCCGCAGCGAGCCGCCGCAGCACAACGACGGGCACAAAGACTGCAGAGGCGCCGCAGCGCCGAAGACAACTCAGAAATTCAAAAAAAAGAACAAGTCGGAAGTAAGAAAGAAAGAAGATGACACGGGAAGCAGCAGCAGACGCAGGCTGTGAGCAGCAGCCGGCGCGCAGCCGCGAGGCGCCAAAAGTAAATAAACAAAAGGAAAAACAAATGCCTCTTCAACCCTTTTGACTTTTTTTAATTCTGCACAAAAAGACAAATTCAATTTCTCCCCTGACACCGCAATCTTCGCGAGCTGTCCGTACACCGCAGCGCTGAACGCAGCAGGCGCCTCTGCTGCTCTCACTCCACTTATTTAAAACTTGTCTGCAGCAAAAGGCCAGCTATCTTTTGCGTCTTTTTTAATTCATTTGACTTCCTTTTCTTATTCGTCTTGGCCTCCACCATTATTTTAGTTTGCTGGCCGGCGGTCTCAGCAGCAGCAGCAGCAGTGCAGCAGGCGATGCTCTCATGCAGCCGAGGCTGCAGCCGCTCGCGTTTGACTAACACTTCATTTTATTATTTCGCAGAAATATATTCCACTTTACTTGTTTTCAAATTTAGTCTCAAGCGAGACCCGCCAATAACAAGAGCCTGCTGCTGCTGCTGCTGCTGCTGGCAGCCCGCTACAGCGGCTCGGCTGTCTTGGCAAAATCACCCCACTGCAGCCACGACACAACTAGCCCGCAGTCCTGCTGCTGCTGCTGACTCGCTGCTGCTGCCCTGTTGCTGCTGCTTTGCTGCTGCCGCTGCTTTGCTGCTGCTGCCTCGCTTCCGCTGCCTCAGACCATTTAAGAGAAGCAGCTTGAGGACTCTCGCTGCTGCGCTGCTTCCAACAGAGCGCCGTCGCCTGCAGCCCTGCTGCAGCTGCCGCTGCAACAGCAGCAGCTGCAGCAGCAGCAGCTGCTGCAGCAGGCCTTCTTCTGCCGCTGTGTCTGCAGCATTAGATGTAGCAGCAGCAGCAGCAGCGAGTGCATGCGCAGCCGCAGCAAACAAGCTCCTGCGCAGCAGCAGCTACAAACAAACTAGACGGCCAAAAAGAAGCAGCAAATAGAAAAACAAAACCAACAGACTTGTGCTGCTGCTGGGGCTGTCCTGTGGGGTCTCCCCACTGGGCAGGCCTAGGGTTTAGGGTTTATGGCTTAGGCTGCAGCAAACTGTGGAGCGCTGCTGGCGGCCTCAAGTAAAAGCCGCAGCAGCAGCAGCAGCAACAGCAGCAGCAGCACCAGCAGCAGCGCGGCAGCAGCAAAGCTCAGGACAGGAGGGGCCTTCACTCTTCACAGCCGCAGAGCCATGCCAAGGCTGTGGAGCAGCAGGAACAACTGCAACAGGTAGCAGCTGCTGCTGCAGCAGCAGGCAACAGCTGCGGCTGCTGCAGCAGGCAGCAGCTGCTGCTAAGCAGCTGGTGCAGCAGCAACAGCAGTTCTATATCTCAGTTGAAGGGCAGCAGCAGCAAAGAGCCAGCACCCCGAGATTATGATCGGCAGCAAAAGAATGTTGGGCCCCGGAAGCAGCAGCAGCAGCAGCAAAGAACAGAAAACTAAAAACAAAAAAAGGAAAGTAATAATACAAAATGGGGCCATCTTGGAGTGCACAGACACTGCAGCGCAGCGCTCTTGCTGCTGGCTGCTGCGGCCCGAGAATGAGGTGTACGTACACCTGAGGAGTGAAGTGCGAGTGCCCACCAGCAGCAGCAGCAGCTGCTGCTGCTGCTGCAGCTGTAGCTGCTGCTGCTGCTGTTGCCGCTCCTTGTGGGCACGGTGCAAAAAAAGCTGCGAGCTGATCGCCCGGAGGCAGCGGCTGCAGCAGCAGCATCAGCAGCAAAAACGGCAGCAATGACAGCAGCAAAAACGGCAGCAGCAGCTGCTGCTGCTGCTGCTCAAACCCCTCAGCGGTGTGCTGCAGCGGAAAAGCAGGCTGCTGCAGCAAAAGCTGCTGCTACATCTGCTGTTTCGTTTCCAATCGCTCTAACGGAGCGGAGCGCTGCTGCTCCAGCTCCTGCTGCTGCTGCTGCTGCTCTTTTTCATGTTGCTGCCGCGGCGGCAGAGACTTCTGCTGCTGCAGCGGCTCGCCGATAGCCAAATCTTCAGCAGCAAGAGGCCCCTCAGCTTCTGTGGCTTGCGGAAGATGTAGATACACCTCATGGCCCCGTCGTCGCTGCAGCGGCAGCAGCTGCTGCTGCTGCTGCTGCTGCTGCTCTTGCTGCTGCTGCTGCTGTTGTTGCTGCTGCTGCTTTTCTTCTGCAGTTAGCTGCTGCAGCTCAACTGCTGCTTCTCCCGGCCGCCCACGAGGTCTCAAGGGACTTGCGAAAAAGGGCGTCAGGTAGCTGTACATACACCCCAGCAGCAGCAGCCCCAAACCCTAAAGCCTAAACCCTCAACCCTAGGCATCTGGGTTAACTGAAGAAACCCTAACAAATGGGAAGACAAGACAAAAGCTTCGCCCTAAACCCTAGGCGCGAAACCCTTCTGCTAGAAAAGAAACCCTAATTCTGAGCCTTAAACCCTAGTTGTAGGCCAAAACCCTGAACCGTGATTGTGAACCCCAAACCCTAAACCCTGATTCTGAACCCTAAACCCTAAACCCTAAACCGCTTTTCTTAAGACACACTTCCGATCCAGCAGACGCAGCCGTCGCCGCAGGTATTCGCAGCAGTTGTTTTTACACCAGACGCTCCTCTGCTGCTGCTGCTGCTGCTGGTTGGTCAGCTCTGCTGAGCCGCTGCTGCTGCTGCTGCTGCTGTGCAGCGGCAGCTCCCCAGTAGCAGCAGCTCCGTCACCTTCAAAGTCGTCCGCGAAAACCCCCAGAGGCCTCAGTGCGAACAACAGCGCCGGTGCTGTACCAAAAACGCCCAAACCCTAAACCCTAAACCCTAAACCCTAGCTCTTGAAGTTGCCTTCTCCGCAAAATAACGCCCAGAAGGAGGGCGGACGAATCAAGAGCCAGTGCGCCCCTGCCTCCCACGCTGAAGCCCTACAAACCCTAAACCCTAAACCCTAAACCCTAATCTTACTCAACAGAAGCACTGACGACAGACACACCACTAAAGTGAACGTCAGGATGGCCTGTCCCTCTCGGCCCCCAAAGTCATGCTGAGCCCTTTCCGCCAGCGCAAAGGCTGCACGCAAAAACCCTAAACCCTAAACCCTAAACCCTAGCTCCCAACCAGAGCCCAAGACCCCAAACTTCGGGCCAAAACGAAAGCCAAGGTCCTAAACCCTAAACCCTAGATCATGAGCTGGCACGGCAATGAGGCGGGGCGAAGGAACACCCACGCAGTCCCTCCTTCACTGGGGTCTAGGGTCTAGGGTTTAGGGTTTAGGGTTTAGGGTTTGTGCCCACCGACTGTCCCCCTCAGCCCGCAGAGAGCCACCGCGTGCTGCTCCTTCAAAGACAGCCGCTTGCGGCCTCTAAAGAAGTTCATCAGGAAGCAAGTTAAGTACACGCTCAGCGCCCTGCAAACCCCCAAACCCTAAACCCTAAACCCTAAACCCTTAACTCGACTCCAGTCGGTGAGGGCTCAAGTGCGTAGCTACAGGGGACGGATTTCTGCGGTCAAAATCGACTTGTGCTCCGGTTGAGGGCTTGAGTCCCGTCTAGGGTTTAGGGTTTAGGGTTTGGGGCACCGTGCGGCTACAACTGCAGCAGCGCCGCCCGTAAGAAACAAAAAGGCTTCTTTGAGTGGCAGCAAATCGAAAGAAAAGGGGGCGAGGCCAAGAAAGACAAAGGAGAGGCATTCCGACAGCAGCGCGAGCGACCCAAAAACCGCTGCGACGCAAACCCTAAACCCTAAACCCTAGACCCTAAACCCCAAGTCTTTGGACCGGAACTCTCGAGGCCACGCGCAGACGCCAGCAGCCAAAGGCTCGCGACAGCAGCCTTGCCAGCGAACCACGGAGAGCGAACACCGAGAGCGAACACCGGGGATAGAGCTAGGGTTTAGGGTTTAGGGGTTTAGGGTTTAGGGTCTACCTACATCGCGCAGCAACTTGCGCTCGTTGTGAGAGATTCATAAAAGCATATTTCCCCATCGACACTCCACAGAAGCATATGGAGACAATCCCGCTGAAGCCGCAGCCCTGAGGCACTCCCGCAGACCCTAAACCCTAAACCCTAAACCCTAAACCCTAAGCTTAGGGGCTAGACCCTAGGCCCTCCAGGCTGTAAATCCATCATTTTGAAGCTCGTCGCCGGACAGCGCAGACAGACCTGAAAAGGGCCTTTAGAGGATGCGAGGGTTAAGGGTTTAGGGTTTAGGGTTTGAGGGTTTCGTACGTCAGCGATGAGAAAAGCCAACCAGGGGAAAAGCATCAGCAGCGCCACTTCCAAAGTGGCATCTTCTCGGTTCCAGTCGATGTGCTTGTAGACCTGCCCAAAACCGTAAACCCTAAACTTAAACCCTAAACCCTAGAACTTAAATTCTGAGGCCAAGACGCTAGGCCGTCTCAGCTCTGGCTGGGGCGCTTCTTCGTGCCAAAAAAGACAGCAGGCGGAGCAGCAGCAACAGCAGCAGCAGCAGCAACAGCAGCAGCAGCAAGCTTTCACAAGGAGCAGCAGCCTGCGGACAATTGGCGCGAGCTGCAAGGGCATGCGCAGCAGCAGCAGGACACAGCATTAGCCTTAGCAGCAAGCAGCACGACGAGCAGCGCACAGCAGCAGCAGCAGCAGCAGCAGCAGCAACCCACGGAAACCAGCAGCAAAAGCAGCAGCACGAAAGCACGACAGAGAGCCACTGCAGCAGCTGCACGACACAGCAGAAGCAGCAGCAGCGCACAACAGCAGCAGCAGCAGCACTGCTGCTGCTGCTGCACAGCACAGCAGCAGCAGCAGCAGCAGCGTACAAGAGCAGCAGCAGCGCCGGTGAGCAGCCCAATGGCCGTGGAGGCCGCGAAGGTGCAGAGAAAAGCAGCAGCAGCAGCAGCAAATCCTGTTTCTCTTTCTCCGTCAGCAATTGCGCGGTACATCACCAGAGTCACTGCGTCGTTCAACAGGCTTTCTCCAAACACCTGAACGCCAGCACCCACTGCTGCTGCTGCTGCGACTGCTGCTGCTGCTGCTGCTGCTGCTGTGGCTGCGGCCGCTGCTGCTGCTGCGGCTGCGGCCGCTGGTTTTTGGCTACTGAGGGGGCTTGCAGCCTGGGAACGGCGGGGGTCGCGTACGACCCGCTCCCGAGCGTGCTAGGGTTTAGGGTTTAGGGTTTAGGGTTTACGAGGACGTGTATGAGCATTTTGGCCCGCAGGTCTCTGAAGGCACTCAAAACCGCCACAGGATCTGTTGAAGAGATCAGAGCGCCCACGGCGAAGGCCCGGCGGGGGCTGAAAGACACGCCTGGCAGCAGCAAACCTGCAGCAGCAGCAGCAGCAGCAGTAGCAGGGGCAGGTGCAGCAGCGGCGAGAGAGCACGCGCGGCGCGCGAACTGTGCCGCCAGAAGCAGCAGAAGCGGCTGCTGCAGCGGCAAAAGCAGCAGCAGCAGCCGCAGCAGGCAGGCCGCTCCACCAGCAGCAACGCTCGCATGAAACAGTAGCACCAGCAGCAGCAGCAGCAGCAGCAGCAACGCCGGCAGAGGCACACCCAGACTACCATCCTGAGGAACTGCAGCACCACAACCAGCAGCAACAGCATCACCACCAGCAGCAGCAGCAGCAGCAGCAGCAACGCCGGCAGAGGCACACCCAGACTACCATCCTGAGGAACTGCAGCACCACAACCAGCAGCAACAGCATCACCACCAGCAGCAGCAGCACCATCAGCAGCAGCACCATCTCCGTCGCCACCAGCAGCACAATCAGCAGCAGCACCATCAGCAGCAGCAGCAGCACCATCATCATCATCGTCATCAGCAGCACCATAATCATCGTCACCAACATCAGCAGCAGCACCACCACCAGCATCAGCAGCAGCATCACCATCATCAGCATCCTGATTACCAGCAGCAGCAGCAGCAGCAGCAGCAGCAGCAGCAGCAAACCTGCGCCCAGCATGTGGGTGCCAATGAGCAAAGTGCTGCAGACTGTGGCGCCCACAGCGAGCCACAAAACGCCTCCGAAGTTTTCCGCAAAGACGCAGCCAAAGGGCCGCTGCACCAGCTCCAAACCACTGAAAAAACAAACCCTAAACCCTAAACACTAAACCCTAAACCCTAAACCCTAAGTACTCTCTAAACCCTCGGCGTTAAACCCTAGACGCTGAGCTCGAAAGCCTAGGTCGCAAAAGCTAAACACAAATGCTTTAATTCTAGGCCTGGGCACCTGAAAGTAGACTCTAAACCCTAAACCCTAAACCCTAAACCCTCAGGGGGCCCTTAGCACAGTTCATGAGCCGTCTTTACGGGTTTTACAGCTGCAAGGCCAGCGGCTAGGGTTTAGGGTTTGAAGCAAAGATAAGGGTTTGTAAGATTAAACTTAGGGCTCAGGGTTTACGAGTTTGGGGCTTAGGGTTTAGGGTTTAGGAATTAGGGTTTAGTGCTTGGAACTCTGATTCTGAGCAAACTAGGGTCTAGGGTTTGCTGTGCAGCGCCGGAGTTTGAGGCTTTGCTTCTATGCCTAAAGAACTGTGTTTTAGGGTTTAGGGTTTAGGGTCTAGGGTTTAGAAGTTACCCCTGGAAAACAATTGGAGGGAGCAGCAGCACAAAGAAGACTTCTTCCTTGAGAGCCAAAATGCTTCTGAAGCTGCTGCTGCTGTGCTGCTGCTGCTGCTGCAGCAGCGCCCCCAGCAGCACGCCGAGGAGTGTAGCCACCAAAGGGACCTGCAGCAGTAGCTGCTGCATGCGCCTAGCAGCAAGAGATATAAACAAAGCAGCAGCAACGACCAGCAGCAGCAGCAGCAAACCCACGGACATAACCACCTCTTTCTCGCTGCTGCTGAGGATGTCCCCAGCCTCGCCTTCCCAGCTGCTGCTGCTGCTGCCGTTGCTGCTGCCGCTGCTGCTGTTGCTGTTGCTGCTGCTGCTGCCTTCATCATTTTCGCTGCTGCCACGTGTGTCCGCATTGTTGTCCGTGCTGCTGCTGCTCCGGCTACCATCGGTGCCCCCGATGCTGCTGCTGCTGCTGTTGCTGCTGTTGCTGGCTTCGTCGTTGTTGTTGTTACTGGGCTCTTCGGCGTAGTCTAGACGCCGAGGCGGCAGCGGCAAGCCTAAGCGTGCTGTCGTTTGTGCTGCTGCTGCTGCTGCTGCTGTTGTTGCTGCTGTTGCTGCACTGGGAGGTCCCACCGTGTCCGACCCCGAAGAGGCCAGAAGTGCATTAGGGGCATTAAGCAGCAGCAGAACTAGCAGCAGCACTTTGGTAGCCATGGTCAACAGCAGCAGCAGCAGCTGCTGCCGCCGCTGCTGCTGCTGCTGCTGCTGCGACTGGGTGGGAAAACAAGGAGTCTACGGAAGCCGGTCTGGTAATTAAAAAAAGCGTTTGGGGTTCAGGGTTTAGGGTTTGGGGTTTAGCGTCTTTCGCTGCGTTGACCTGCAGCCAGCAGCGTCGGCAGTGAGCCCCTGATATACTCAAGTTGCTGCTGCTGCAGCTGCTGCTGCTTCTGCTGCTGATGCTGATGTGTCTACAGCACCAATGACTAAAAAATGTATTATTAATTCAGTAATGGCAGCAGCACCAAAGATGCTTTATCTGGCTTGTTGCTGCTGCAGCAGACAGGGGCCCCTTGCCAAGGCGTGTTGCTGCTGGTGGGGCCCCCAGAGCAGCAGCTGCTGCAGCAACTCCGCAGCTCCAGCAGCAGCAGCAGCAGAGCTGCCAGCATGTGGGGCTGGCGATCAGAGATCTTTGCAGCTTCTAATTTTGTCTTTGGGACTTCTGCAGAAAATAATCAAGCAGATAAGCCTGTTGCTGCTGCTGTTGCTACCTCAGCTGCTGCTGCTGTTGCTGCTGCTGCGACCTCCCCGTTGCCGCCGACATCGACGTGGGGTGTCTGCAGGCTTGACCTGAGGCTTTAGGGTTTAGGGTTTAGGGTTTAGGGTTTCTGTAGGGAGAGGAGGGCGTTTATTCGCTTTCCACGGACAAGCCGTGCGTGTCCCTCGAGGTTTAGGGTTTAGGGTTTAGGGTTTAGCACCCAAGATGGTGTCTCGACAATGTAGGGTGGTGCTGCTGCTGGCAGCAGCAGCAGCAGCAACTCAACAAGCAGCAGCTTTTGCTTTTTCCCAAACGACTCAGGTCTTGCGGGTGAGGCTATGTTGCTGCTGCTGCTGCATCTGTCGCTGCTGCTCCTTTCGCCGCTGCTGCTGCTGCCTATTTCGCTGCTGTTGTCTGCGTAGTCCAGCCTCTGCTGGAGCCTAACTAAGTTGCTGCTGCTGCAGAGTGTGACGCCGCTGTCCTCCGCTGCTGAAGCCGTGAGGCCCCACGCTGCTTCTTCTTCCACAGCCGCGGGTAAGCAGCAGCGGCAGCAGCAGCAGCACTAGCAGCAGCAGCAGCAATGCCAGGAGCGGTGGTAGCAGCAGCAGCAGAAGTAGCCATCCTTGCGGGTCTGGGCCTGAGCAGTTTGTGCTGTGTCTGCGGACGCTGTGCTGCAGCCACCGCAGCAGCAGCCAGCAGCAGCAGCAGCAGCAGCAGCCAGCACTCGCTTGACGGCGAGTTCATCTCGGGGCCGCTGCAGCCTTTAAGGGGAATGGTGCTGCTGCAGAAGTTGGAGGCCGACGTGAAGACAAAGGGGGGGCTGCTGCTGCCCACGGAAGTAGGACTTTGCTGCTGCTGCTGCTGCGCTGCTGCTGCTGCTGTGCTGCTGCTGCTCAGTTCTCTTGCTGGTTGCTTGCTGCGTCTTCGCTGCTGCTGCTGCTGTGCTTGCGTTGCTGTTGATTGTTGCTGCTCTCTGTCTCTCAGCTTGCTCCTGCTGCTGCTGCGTCTGTGTGGGAAGAGGCCGTTGCTGCTTCTGCTGCTGCCGCTGCTGCTGCTGCACTTTAAGGATCCTGTGCGGCTGCTGTTTTGCTGCAGTCCCGTCAAGAGAAAGTGCTCGGCCGCGTGCTTGCTACAGGCCCTGGGGAGCTGCATCAAGAGACCGGGTCTGCTGCTGCTGCTGTTGCTGCTGCTGCTTTTCCTCCTGATCCTGTTGTTGTTGCTCTTGCTGCTGCTGTCCTTCTGCTCTGCCTATGTGCTGCTGCTGCGCACTATGCCGCGCAACGTGTCGCTGCTGCTGCTTCATTTCCAGCTGCTGCTTCTGCTGCCTAACTACTGCTGCTGCTCGTGCTGCTGCTGCTGCTGCTGCTGCTGCTGCACCGCCGCGGCTGAGCGTGACACACGCGTTGTGGGTGTCGCTGGTATGGTATTGGGCGGGAGATAAACAGCCCGGGGCCTTTTGCTGCAGTTGCTGCTGCTGCTGCTACAGCGAGGCCTTCTCTGTGCTGCAGAGAAAGGGCAACATGCTGCTGCTGCTGCTGCTGCTGGGCTGTCGTGTGTAGGGGCGGTGCCTCTCTGCGGCTGCTGCGCAGCAGCCCTTGCTGCAGCAGCAAGGACCCCATCGAAGCAACATCCACAAGAGCTGGCTGTAGTTTATTCTTGCTGCTGCTGCTGCTGTTTGCTGCTGCTGCTGCAGGAAACGCATTGCCTGCGCAGTCAAGGAAGGCGACATCGTTGTCTACCCAAAGCACTCTGGAGAGGCAGTCAGCCCATTGCTGCTGCTGTTGCTTCTGCTGCTGCTGCTGCTGCGGCTGCGGTTTGTTGCAGCTGCCGCATCAGGTGTTGTTGCATCAGGCGTTGCTGCTGGCTTTGCTGCTGAACACACAGGAGCACGCGCACTCGCAGTGTGCTGGTCCCAACCGCCTGCTGCTGTTGCTGCTGCTGTTGCTGCTGCTGCTGCTGCTCAGCTGAAGTACGATGGATCTGACTGCGTGCTGCTCTCCGGCGAGGAGCTGCTGGCCAAGGTCTCTCAGCCTCAAGTGCTGCAGCCTTCTGACGTGCAGCCGCTGGCAGACACGTGCGTCTGCTGCTGCTGTTGCTGCTGCTGCTGCTGCTGCTGTGGTTGGCAGGTGCTGGTTCGGCTGCTGCGTCTGTTGCGCTTGTTCGGCTGCGTTGCTGCTGCTGTTGCTGCTGCTGCTGCGTGCCTAGAGACACCTCTTTGGTGCTGCCGCTGCCGGGCTTGCACTTGCTGCTGCTGCTGCTGCTGCTGCTGTTTGTTGCTGCAGCGTGTTCGTGCGCGTCTTGAAGGCTTCGGATAAGAGCGCTGGAGGGTTGCTGCTGGTCTCGAAGCAGCAGCAGCGGCTGATGCAGCAGGCGGAGGTTGTGGCTGTCGGGGAGGGGAGGTTGTCGCAGCAGCAGACACGTATCCCAATTGAAGTCCGTGCTGCTGCTGCTGCTGCTGAGTTTTGGCTGTGGGGTGCTGCCCTTGCGCCATTTCTTCCCGTTTGCTGCTGCAGCAGCTGCACATGCGTGTCTTTCGCTGCTTCGGATGTTTGATATTTTGCTGTTGCGTTCACACTCTGCCGCTGCTGCTGCTGCTGCTGCGCAGGTTTCGGTGGGAGACAAAGTTGTTTACTCCTCTTATCTCGAAGAGTCTTCGCAGCTGAAAATCGGCGAAGACACTTTTGCCTTCATCAGAGCTGCTGATATTGCTGCCAAGTGGTAGCAGCGAAGCGCCCGCGGCGCTTGCTGCTGCCGCTGCATGCCATTTGCTGCTGCTGTACCTCTAGCTGCTGCTGCTGTAGCTCCAGCTGCTGCTGCAGAGTCTGCAGCAGCGACAGGAGCAGTTGATTCAGCAGCTGCGGCGGCTGCAGCTGCTGCTGCAGCAGCTGCAACTGCTGCAGCAGCAGGTGCTGCAGCATGTGCAGCAGCAGCTGTGTCTCCCACTTCCTCCGAAATGATAACATAGCCAGCAGCAACATTAAGGCGAGGCCCCCTGAGGGGCCCCCACAGCAACGGGAGAGTTCCTGCTGCTTTGGGGGCCCCCGTTTAGGCTCTGGGGGCCCCCGTGGCACCTGGGGTATAGGACTGACTGGCTTTGCTGCTTGAGTTGTTTTGTCTGCTGCTTCTAGGGCTAGAATTAGGTACTAGCTGCTGCTGCAGCAGCTGTTTAGTGCACTTGGTCTGTGTACTGCTGCTGCTGCAGCGGTAAGGCAGGTTTCCTTTAGCTTGCTGCAGTTCTTACTTACCTGCATACAGAGGAGTAGGGGGTCCTGGTGGCGGCTGTTTGTGCTGCTTTTCTGGGTGTTTACTTCATGGCTTTTTGAAATTAATTAATTATAAACGGGAAAATGAAAAACTGCTTTTATGGAGCTATTTATTAGGGGCAAAAGAACAACCGGCTGCTGCCCACTGCAGCACCGGACCGCTGCCGATGCACCAGTTCGGGCGCCTCTGTGAGGACTCCCAGAAGTTCACATATTTGTTTTGAAATGAAAAATAATAAACATAAAACTAGGAAGTTTAAATAAACAAAAACTGAACTTATTTTACTCTAAATTGAGACAAATGGCTGCTGCTGCTTCGTGCTGCGGCAAGTGAGACCTGCAGCGTCGTGTCCGTCGGTCGATTGTTGCAAGTGTGTACAGACAGCAGACTTCAACGAAAGCAGCTTCTTTTTCTGTAAACAAAAATTAAAATAAAATATTTTCATTATTACCCTTGAATTGGCAATTTGGTGTAGATAGGCCAGCAAATTCCGTGGCTAGTTCGGGGCTGCGGAGCGCAACCAGCAGCAGCAGCAGCAGCAGCAGCAGGAGCGATGCCGTGCCGGTGTGTAATCGTAGCCTCCTACGATTCCACATTTATCTTCCGTTTTCAAATTCCAATTATTATTTCTTTCAAGTGTTGCTACACCTCAAACAGCAGCTGCTTTCCCTCTCAGTCTCGGCTTGCTGCAGCTGCCTGCCTCCAGCTGCTTCCAGCGCCGTCGATTCTTCTCTGGTTTTATCCTCCGTCTTCCCTTTTCCAGTTTTTACCCCCTTGTCTTTTCCCCTTTTTTTGAGTTAGCAGAGCAGGCCTCAGCCAAGCCACTCTAGCAGCAAACAGCTCCAGCAGCAGCAGCAGCAGC